TTGAAAAACAAAGCCTCCAAAACAGATTGATACACTTGGTAAGTTTAAGAAACAAAAGTAATATACAAAATTTAAAAAATAAAAACTCAAAAAAATTAACATTTATTAGTTATTGTGTTATAATCATTCACATTAATGTTATATGTTTGCCCTGATTTTATTGTTGGGACATAGATTACTGCAATCAAACTCGACAATGGTACCCAACAGATATCATCTCTTTGTGGCCAAATGAAGTTTTGAGAAGGACCATGAGGTTGTATAAAATTAATTTGAATATCATTTGTAGTAATATCTATCTTTGTAACCATGCCTAACCACCAAAAGAAATGTATTTGCATGCAACAAAATCATTTAGATTTGGTAAAATTACAGCATCAGACGTTACTGCTTTTGACAGTATAAATCTGTCAACACATTGATGCTTGTTCTTTTAAAACTAATTTTAAATTTTGAAATGGGTATGTAATTAAGATAACTTCTTGTACCTGGAACAGTCTTGCCTGTTTCAAATCGCTCATTTAGTTGCTGTTGCCTTACATTAACTGTTTCTTTAGTAATTTTGTAAAATATAATTGTGTTTATATTGGTATTGGTATGGCAAAACTCAAGCTTATCATCAACTGTCAATATTTGGTTTTCCAATGGTCTTTGTAAACTTGCTCTTGCTGTTATTCTTTTAATAGTACCACCTATGCCATCACAAGTGGTTTTTCCATGGCTGATTGCAAAGAATACCCATTCAGTTGTAATCTTGAGATCTTCTTTATGGTGGTATAGATTTATAAAGTTTTTATAGTTTTTATAATGAGCAGAACATCCGCCATAAGAATAATCAATTTTATTGATACTAACTAAATATTTTTTTAATGTACTCTACAATTTTCTTTTGAAGTTCATACTCAAAGCATGTATCACGATCATTATCATCACTTAAAAAACAGAACGACTTATGCTGAATATTTGTTTTAGAAATTTCCTTAAAATATATTACAACTGAATGTAGTGTTCATTGTTGTTTATTCCAATGATAACTTTGTATTTCATCCTGTATAATAAATTGATAGTTCTCTGCAAAATTTGCTAGTATAATACATTCGTTGTAACCTAAATTATTTTTTAGTTCTTTTAGTGAGTTAGGCATTTAGCAATATATGAATGTGAAGTTAGTTGATTAATGTGAGAAACAAATAGTTCTTTATTTCAAATATGTTAACTATCTGAGTAATTAATTGTGATCTATCAGTACTTTGGTATTTATTAAATTGAATTTCTTCTTCTTTATCAATCTCACTTAATTCCTCATCTAAAAATGCCTTTAAGTTTTCATAACTTGGACATTAGGCACATCTATGAACCATGCATTCAGTATTGCTTGTATGACATACTAATTTTGATTTTAAATCTTTGTATGTAACATTTGATTGGACAACATTTAAAATTGGGGCATTACACTTTTAAAATAAATATAAAGGTCATTAAGGCTACCCAACAATAATCTTTTTTGTTGTAGATGACCACTTTTAACCTTAACACTATCTTTTTTACCAGAAATATTTCTAGAATGTTCATCTTGTTTAAAAATATCTTGAACCAAAGCTGTAAGAAAGTCAGGTATTTTTTGGTCTATTTTATTTAGAGGTATAGCAAGAATTCCTTTTTCACTTTTAAATTTCCTAGTACGTCATATAAGATGTTCAGAAACTTCAAAATATTCTGAAGCATATTTTCTAGACCACGATTCAGGTGTAAGTGTTAATATTTAATTTTTTTTTTAATGGTTTAACTTTGAGTTTTTCTTTCATTAAAGTTGTCAAATGATAAAGATCATTTGCTTTTTTTTATCTGTAGGATGACTGGAAAAAGTAAAGGCTACACTTATGTTATCTATATTTACTCCATAAGCACTTGCTACTCCTTCTATTTTTGTGTAGCTTTGACTAATTGCTTTGACTTTTTGCTGTTACAACTTGTTGATGCAACTCCATGAACATTAATTGGCAAAACTCCAATTGATATTAAAGAGTTTTCTAACTGTTGTTTATTACAAGATTTACCTTTAGCAAATGATACATCACCATTAATTTCACATTTCATTTCATTTTTAGAAACTTCATCACAATTTGACAAAAACTGAATATATGAGCAACAAAGTTTCCATCCTAGTTTACGGTTTAGATTATTGGATTTAAGATTACAAACCATTTCAAGAGATATGGTTGTTTAACCTAAAATAAAATCATTAGTTTTTATATATATATAAGTTTATATATATATATATATATAATATATATATATATATATATATATATATATATATATATATATATATATATATATATATATATATATATATATATATATATATATAATTATATATATATAATTATATATATATATATATATATATATATATATATATATATATATATATATATATATATATATATATATATATATATATATATATATATATATATATATATATATATATATATATATATATATATGTATAGGGCCCGCCATCTAACGTTTTTTTTTCAACTAGTGCTTATTTTGTGAATGGTAGCACTTAGCTATTGTCTGATTTCACAGATAATTAGTTTTATCCTTCCACTGAATGAATATGGTTGTGTATACGCTTGAACAACGCTGGGAAATATTGCAACATTACAAATCATGGTAATGTTGCAGAATGTGTTCGAAAATTGCGTATGGATTTTGGAAGAGGAGAAGCATTGTCAGCCATTTGAATGAAATTATTTTCCATTATTAACTGGAAGGATTATACTTTCAAATAAAAAAAGAAATTTGAGAAAATATTCAGTAGTTTTTTTTTATAGCATTTTCAAAAAAAAAAAAAATTTGGCGGACCCTTTATATATATATTATAAACATAAATATAACTTTATATAATACAGGCTTGGTCGCGAAACAGGTGCACTATATATCTGATCACGCATATAATATTTAGTTGCTACAACATGGTCACAGCTTTTTAGATGTTTTGAGAACATTTCAAAAAAAACTTTACTTGACAGGAGACAACTTTTAAAAAAATTAACTAAAAAAAGAAATAAATTCTTAAAGAATAAAAAAAGTTTGACTGAAACAAAATAAATTGCGTTTAGAATAAATTGTCTCTAAATTTCTCTTTTTCATAACTTTTTTTATAAAATTAAGAGACACTTTTATAAAAAGTAACAACTTACTATTAATGATGGTTTAGTAAAAAAACCAGTGTTCTTCAAATAATTAAAGTGTATAATATAATTATTTAAGTATTTATGTTTTATTTCAACAAGATTCTAATAAAACTTACCAATTAGATTATAAATATAAAAAGTAAATATATTTTTATAACCATTGGCATGCTTTGCGTAGTTTACATAATACAATAAGTGTAAAATATTTAAAACAATTTTTCTTAAGTAAGATAAATAAAATAAGTCATTAAATCATTACATTACTATAAGATTATTATAACGACCTTTTCTTTTAGCAGTGTCTTTATAATGTTTACAAAAATTTAGCAACGCGCAAGACCCCTGAAACAGTGGTCTATAATGACCAGTTTCCAAACTGCACACTATGTACACATTTAATACCTTTACAAAAGTCCATTGATTTATTTTACAATAGTATATATTATAAACTAATATAAAAAAAACATATTACATTCTAAGTAAATTATGATTTCATTTTGTTTTTTGCAAACTAGAGGCACTTTTTATTGCATCAAATTATCATTAAGCAAACTTAAATTGTTAAGTTAAAAGGTAAAGTATATTTATGAAGAGGAAGCAGAACTGCTTCACAATACCACTGGTGTATTTAATGAGTAGGCTTTTTAATATATTTGTATGTTTTTGTTCTGTATGGACTGCTTGGGCGGTGCTGGTTCACCCGTAAGTCACTTTATATAAATGTATGTTTGTGTTTTGTTCAAATCACTGAGGCGGTGTTCATCTACTCATAATTCACTTTGTATATGTTTAGTCACCAGTAAGTTTCTGCATGTTTATTTGATTATTAATTTTATTAACTTTGATGATTACTATTTTTTAAATTTTATTGAAAACGCAATTGTTGTTAAAAGTCTAATTTTTTAAAAATCAATCGTACAAACACTTTTAAAAGACTTACTTTAAAGAATAAAAAACTAATCTATATTATTGTTTTTATAATTATTTATTATAACTTTCAATTAAACTTGCTAAACTTTACATATTTTAAAAAATAAAATTAAAAATTTTCTTTTAATAAACAATCAATAAAAGTCAAAATCATCGCTTAGTTTAAAAGCGCTTTACCAATATTAACGATTGTTTATCAATTTAATTGTTTTAGCGTGTCAAATAGTGTCTGACATACATGGAAACATACATAAATTTAAATTTCTCAAAACACTTAAAAAGTCATGGCCAGGTTGTCGCAACAAAATAAAATTTGCGTGGTCAGGAATAGAGTGCGACCGCACCCGCTTCCTGACCAAGCCTGATAATATATATATATATATATATATATATATATATATATATATATATATATACATATATATTTATGTATGTATATATATATATATATATATATATATATATATATATATATATATATATATATATATAAACAATTTTAAAATGTATTTTACCTCAGTTGAAAAAATGCATTTTACCTCAGTTGAAAAATCGCAGTTAAAGATACAGTCGACTCTCGATATCGCGAATACTTGATATCTCAAACTTTTTTAGCGGTCCCATTGACATAATGTACTAGTTTAGGCTAAAATCCTCTTGATATCTCGAACCTTAATATCTCAAACTTTTTGGTATCTCGAACAATATTTTTGGTCCACAGGGCAATTTTCTCTCGTTATCTCGAACTTTTCAAAATTTTTTTTTTCAAGAAATGTTTTAATAACATTTAATTTTTTTAAATTCCAATTTTCGAAAAGAAATTTTTTTAAATTCAATTTTAAATTCGATTTTTTTTCAGAATCGAATTTCTAAAAAGTATTTCTTTAATATATTAATTTATTCTTTTTGTCAAACACAACAACATGCCGCTCATTAAACGAAAACTAACAAACAAATCTATAATAGAAAAATGCAAGGCATTAAAAGACATTGAGACAAGGATCTCTAACAAAGAGGTTGCCAAAAAGTATGGAGTCCAAAAGAACACATTATCAACCTGGGTTAAAAATAAGACCAAGTTATTAAACTCACTGGAAAAAAATGGCACAAAATCTAAATGGAAGAAACTTCGTAGTGGTAATTTCGAAAATGTAGAGAAGGCCATATACACGTGGTTCGTTGCAAAAAGAAGTCAACAAGTACCAATTGATGGTACCATACTAAAAGAAAAGGCACTAAAATTCGCAGAACCATTAGGAGAGTTGGATTTTAAAGCACCTGATTGTTGGTTTCATAATTGGAAAGAAAGGTCAGTTAAATTTTTCAAATCTTGTTCAATTTTACTATAAACAAATAACATGTATCTGTTTAATTTATTTAGTTTTTTAAACGTGTAATTAAAATTCAATTATTCTGTTCCTATTTTTAGGAGCGGCATCAGCTTTAAAATGATCTCAGGTGAAAGTGCCGCCATGACGAATAATATGACTGCTTCGTGGAATGAAACTACACTTCCAACATTGCTTTTTTAATTTCAAACTTGAAAACATTTTCTATGCCAATGACTTTGGACTATTTTACCAGTGCCTACCAAACAAAACATACCATTTATCACGAGAAAAATGTATTTGGGGAAAAAATAGTAAAGTCAGACTAACAGGCATAGCAGCAGGGAGTGCATCCGGAGAAAAATTACCTATGTTTGTTATTGGAAAATCTAAAATCCCATGGTGTTTTAAGCACATTAAACAACTTCCTTGCACATATAAAAATCAGCTAAAAAGTTGAATGACCTTGACTAATTTTTTTGTGCTCAAGACAGGAAAGTAGCACTCCTGGTAGATAACTGTTCTGCCCACCCACGCATTGAAGGGCTAAGCAATATCAACCTAATATCCCCCCCCCCCCCTAACACCACATCTGTCCTTCAGCCTATGGATCAAGGCGTATGAAGTCTTAAAGCTCATTATCGTCACAAAATTGTGCGCTTGTGTATTAAGGCTGTCGATAATAACGAACCCATGCCAAAAATTTCTATACTTCAATCAATAAAAGATCTTGTTTCTTCATGGAATCCTGTGTCGAAAGAGACTGTCATCAACTGCTTCAAAAAACCTGGTATCAGCAAAACAAACAAGAGTATTGAAGAAGCTGATGATGATCATCCTTTTAAATTTTTGACAGAAGAACTTAATCGTTTGTGAGTTATATCCTTGTGCCGTCCAAGAAGATCTCTCAGCGGAATCTTACATTGGTTTAGATTGTGATTTAGTAACCGTCGGTTCACCTGCTACTGATGCTGAAATCATTGCTCAGATTTTAGACCCTAACTTTGAAAACTACAATAATGAAGTTGAAGATAGCGTTAATGAAGGTATTGACGTTGAAGCCCCGTCATGCCCATCTGATATTCAATTAGAAATTACTTTTGAAATGATTCAAAATGCTTCGCTATACAGCTCAAAATACGAAAATGAAATACAATCCCTAGTACTTAAACTTGAGGATTTAATGAAGATGGAAAAGGTGGATAATTTGAAGCAATATCAGGTATCAGATTTTTCCCAAAAGTTGTAGGTTTTATTTTTAATGATTTTTGTCAGAAAAATAACTTGTTTTAATGAAAGTCGGGCAATTTTATTTATTTTCAACCCTTTTCTTGATATCTCAAACTTTTTTTCCGGTCCCCATTAGTGTTTGAGATATTGAGAATTGACTGTATGTAAATAGAGGTTATTCTATTATTAACAATAAGCGAACTTTTTTGTTTAGTTAAACATGTGGCGGGAGTGATCGCTCCTGGTTCGTGCCAAGGCCTGATATATAGGCCTCTGCGAGAGTAAATGAGCGCGAGAGCAGAGAAAAGCTCTCCTAAAACAAACATGGCGAGCCATGAGAGTTGCTCCTCTAAACAGCTTCCTACGAGAGCTTTTGCTTTTTATGTGAGCGCTCTGCTTATTTAATAAAAATTTATAAAAAAATTATTTGTTGCTTATTTATAAAAAAATTGCTTATTTAAAAAAAAATTTTGGTTTAATACTTGTTACAAGAATATATACATAACAAGTGTCATTATATAGCGCAGTGAAAAGTATCTTGAGGCGAATGTTATCGTTAGGTTTTTACATTACCTATCCATTTATTTATAAACAACATTTGATTGAAAATTAAAAAACTTATTTGATTAAAAATTTGACAAAGAGCTATAAAAGTTTTATGAAAAATCTTTTTTATTTTCTTATTGTAATGAGAATGTAGGCAATTTAAGAATTATTACAACAGTTAAAAAGATCACAATAAAAGTTTTTTAAGTAATTAATATATAAAATAAATTATTCATTACATAAAATAAAAATTATTATGCAATAATTTAGAGTGCAATAATTTTATATTAATCAGTTAGTCCAATCTAATCAAAAATATTTGCATTTAATTGGGGCTTTTTTAATTTTTCCTTTTTTGCAACAACCTTTTAAAAAGCATTAGAGCTTATTATGCAATTAATTTTTATAAAAATGACTCTGTTTTTTATTTTAGTTACAATAATAATTATACTTTTGAGAGAAAAATTTATACTTTTGCAAGAGCCGTAAATTGTTCCCTTAAACCATTTTAGGGGAGTGTAGGAATCGAGAGCTAAAGCTCTCGCTTCCCACACTCCCCGGTTCCATTTTTATATTTTTATATTTTTAACCTGCATTATTATAACAATTAAATAATAAATTAAACTAAACTTTATGCATTACTTAGAATTTTTTGGATAAATTTTTATTTTGACTTTATTTTCAGGCAAAAGCTTTAAAAGTAACCAATTTAGGCATTGTTATCTATATTTTTTTAATTCTTTTTTACTCCCAACAATGCTGCAAGCAACCACTATCAAGTTGGGAGTTGCTAGAAAAAAAGAGTAGAGTTATAGAGCAAGGCGTTTCCTTGCTCTATAACTCTAAAAGACTTAAAAAGTTGACAAAAGACTTAAAAAGTTGAAGGTTGTGAGTCAGGACAACATGAAGATGGTTGTGAGTCAGGAAAACATGAAAGTGGGACAGAGTTCCTTAGGGTTGAAGTGCTGGGAAATAAGCTAGACAAATAAATGGAGCATAAGGAGACAGATACAGTAAAAGAATGAGACTTTCATAAATGACAAGTCAAGCAGGAATGAGTTTTGGTTGATGGAACTAGAGATAAAAGCTCCTTTGAGCAGCAACCATTATAGTATTTATAAAAAAAAGAAGGAGATGCAACTTTACGACAATGGGAAAGGGACTCAAGCTTAGCAGATAGACTTTGTTTAACTCTGTTTACAATGTGTTTTTGGACCTTATCTTGAAGAGAAAGAGTATTATTAGAAGAACCAGCCCAAATATGACAATAGTATTTCATACAGGGACAAATAAGAAATGTAGAGGTAGAGAATGGAATGAGGAAAGAAAAAATGATGAGCACGATAAAGAGAAGCAAGCTTAGCATATGCTAATTTAGCAATCCATTGTATATATGGTTTCCATGAAAGGTCAGTAGTAAATGATAATCCAAGAAGACGTAAAGAAGAGGAATCAGTGAGAGAGTTGCCATTCATTAAAATAGAAGTGTCAACAGTACTGCAATAATTATTTGAAGTAAATAACTGAGTTTTGTTGGAATTTAAATTTACAAGCCACTGTAAGCCCCAATCAGTTACAGAAGTGAGATCAAATACAAGATAGGCTGTCTGTTCTAAGCAAAAAAGAGAAGAATTTTTGTCAAGACATTAGTATTAAGTTGAGTCATCAGAAAAAAGAGCTACTTTAGATGTGAGGTTTTCAAGAAGATCATTAATGTAGATAAGTAATAAAACAGGACCAAGAATAAAGTCTTGAGGTACCCCAGAAGTTACTGGAAATAAAGAAGAGTGTTGACCTTCGAGGATGACTTTATTAAGGCGGTTAGAAAAAAAGCAATTTGATAATCTTAAAAATTTTTTAGATACACCATATGAAACAAGCTTATGGAGAAGACCAACATGTCAATCTTTGTCGAAAGCCTCAGATATGTCTAGAGCAATAGCCTCTAAGCCTCTATCTAATGCACAATAAAATCTTTCATTCACAGCAGTTAGCAAGTCAGCCGTAGAGCAAGAGGATTGAAACACGTATTGGCAAGTTATTTGACTAAAGTTGGAATGTGAGAAATATGTTTATCAAAGACTCAAAGACCTTGCTAATAACAGAAAGAAGACTAATTTGAAAATATTTGTGGTGATCAGTATGTTTACCAGAGTTTTTAAAAAATAGAACAACAGATGTCATTTTCCAGCATGCAGGAAAACAAGAATCAGTCAATTACTTAATAAATAGTTTAGAGAAAATTGAGTCCTGACAAAAAATTTTGTATGACTGTGACAGGAATTTGTCTGGACCACAAGCCGTATAAGAGTTTAATTGAGATATGACTGTGAGCAATGGAAGCTGAAGTAGTTTGAATGTCTAACAATAGGTTAACCTGTTTAATTAGAATGGAAGGAAGAGAAAGGCCATAAGATTGGAGAGTCAGGTTGGAAGCAAATTTCTTTGCAAATAGTTCAGCCTTATTTCATGTATTTAAGCATAGCCAAGTATCAAGTATATTTCTATATTTTTTATTTTTTTATTTCAATTCACCTCCCTGAGGCTAGGAAGGCCACTTTTATTAAGGAGGCTTCTTTAGTTATGGCTACTACCCACTCTCAATTTTAATAACTTAGAAACACAAGTCTTGATTAACAAAGATTAAAATAATTGTTTGGCTTTGATTTGGTCCAAGTATTTGTTTACCAGTATCGATTTAAAGTTGTATGGGTTTATATTTTCAAATTTTTAATAATTAGTTAATTCATCCGTATTGGCATCGGTATCGGCTTTTTCTTATCCATCAGCATCAGTATCGGCATCAGCCAAAAAAGTAATATCGGTACATTAACTTTTTTTATCCAAAAAATTCTAAGAAATGCATAAAGTTTAGTTTAATTTATTATTTAATTGTTATAATAATGCAGGTTAAAAATATTAAATCACATCCATTTCTAGATTACAAAAATCTTCTAATAATTATTTTCGAACATTTTTTTTATGCTACCAGCAACTCCACTTCCAAAAGTTGCTGCCGCATTGTCCACTATAGAATTATCATTCTCATCAATTTCTACTAGAAAATTAACTTCATATTTTTCAATTTCCTCAATAGTGCTGAGGCCAAAGTCATGCGCCAACCTTATATTTATCTAAATGAATTAAATATAATTTCAATAGTTGGTATTATTCAATATTTTTTACGTTGCAATATCTAAAAGATTTCATTTACATTTTAACAAACATCAAAACAATTTATTTTTTAAACTGGAATTTTATTAACTGAAAATGTTACACATCATTTTAATTTTAATTATTTAATTTACAATTTACATTTAAATAAAATATGGACAAATTTTAAAATATATATTACTCACTGATGCCTTGTTGACACAGAGGTCTAAAATATTAGTTTTATTGATTCCAAACTTATCTAAATACTTTTCAAAAAAAATTTTATTGTATTTTGCCATTTTTTTTCTTTTTGTATCAATGGTGCCAAGATTGGTCAGTTTCATCATATTTTTGATTTGTTCACCATGCTTTATTATTTATTTGAATTCTCATATTTTCTCTATTCATTTTAAATTCAAAATGAAAAGCAGTTTTTTCTCAAAGCTTTTGTTCCTGATAAAATGCCTAAAAAATTTGTTTTTTAGCATAAGGTTTTTTAAAAAAAATCAAAAAAATAAATAATTGCAAGCAAATAAATAGGAAATATGAGTATAAAGAAAAAATGTCATTGTTGCAATTTATTGTGAACATGTAGGTTATTTACTTTCTGTTATTTACGCTTCACAAAGTTAATTATTTGTATAATAACCTACAAAAACATAGTTAGAAAAACTGTTGTCATGACTAGTTATAAACTGATCATGTTGTTTAACAAACTTTTGTGATATGTTTCCTGTTATTATTTATAATATTTTGAATTAAATTTTAAAAAATTTAGGAAAATGCATAAAGTTAAAAGTATGTCCTTCCGTAAAAGGAATTGTTGCGCAAATTTTTTTTTATTTATTCGTTGAGATATTCTATAACCTTTTTTTGACTTTTTTGTGTCCTAGTTAGTACGTTTTTTTCTGCATGTCTCGTTAGTTTGACTTTATAACTCAAAATTACAGACAAATTTGATTTTTATTAACTTGTTTTGTTGAATTCATGACTTTTGTCCTTGAACAATTTTTTTATTGCATGTAAGTAGTTTATTAGTTAAATTTAATAGTTTTGTGTATCAAAACTATTAAATTTAACTATAGCATAACACTTTTTTTAAAAGATAATTTTTTTTAAGACATAATTAGCCATTATAATATATTCCTTGACTAACATGGTAATTAAACTTTATAAATTTTAAATTCAGCAAATGTTGAATTATGCGCATTATTTTTGACCCGCCACATAAGTTCTCATAAGTTAAAAAACAATGCAACTATGTCACTATATAAAATAGTTTTATTACACTTTTTAAAATCTTTTATATCTTAGCAAGCATTTGTAGTGTGGCGTTTTGCATATTGGCATTTGTCCATCCACAATTTTAAAATGTAGTTTAAAAAATATCTGCATTGTAGAAAATTCTGCACCAATACTCAATCTGGCCAAATAAACAAAACTGGTAAGGAAGGAGAAAAAGCACTGTAAAAGAGTATTTAACTTTCCAGTTAAATACTCTTTTGTAGTGCTTTGTGACAAGACCATGTCGTTTTAAAGCACATTAATGACATTATTAAAAAAAAGAAATGGAGTCCCGGAGTCGCAAACCTTTTATGGACTCCCGAGTCTTCTGACTCCGGGCTAGTATAGGAACTTCAGACTTGGACTCCAGACTCTGCATTCCTGATTAATAACATTAAAAAAAAAAACAATTTATATCAAGTTACAGCAATTTTAATTTATAGAATTTCTCAAGAGTTTCTAGAATTTATAAATTTTCCCATAGTAAAACAATAATCTTTAAGTCTTTTTTAAAGATTTAAGACATCGAAAAAACTGAAACTTTTAGAAATTAAAAACATTCCTTTATTACAAATATAACATGTGTTGGGAGTTTGTGGTCTCTTAAATAAATACAATATAAAGTATTAAATTTTTTTACTAAAAAAGCATCACTTTTATCTAATTCTTACTATTAATATAATAATATAAAAAGCTAAATATGCTAGTATAATAAACTAGATTTTGCTTCATATTCCTGGTAAAGCCATTTAATACAGCTATTTCCTGCTAGCAGAATCAAATACTTTCCATAAAACCAATAATGTATCATCTTAAATTAAAAAAACAATTTGAATAAATAAAATTAAGTTAACTAAAAGATTTGAAAAATTTTTTATTTTGAATGACATCCATGTTTGACCATAAATTTAGTAATGAGGTCCAGTGTTGACCATGAACTTATTTACAAAAAGTTGAATTATTTGATTAGAGTTCAAATTTTTAATAGTATTTCTTTTAAATTGTATGTAAAAATTTTTGTTTTACTTGCTAGGTGATCAATTAAACAAGCAGCTTGAACAATGGTTATCCGAAGTAAATGTGAAATCTACACCAGCTAGAGCCTTGATATCACCGTAAGTTTAATTACTAATGTTCAAATATATTGATTATCTTATTTTTTAACAAGAAGTTTTGATTTAATTGTTGAGGTTAATTTAAAAAGAAAACACAATTAAAAACAAAGAAACATTTTATGTTGAAAAAATATTTGATGGCTATCATCAAAATGATCATGTAATCAAACTAATCAAAATGAGTCATGACCAAATTACTGTTAAGTTACAATTAAGTTCATTGTTAAGTTACAATTAAGGTCATTTCTTTGGTATCTAGGAATCTGGATCCTAATCCTGGATAGAATAGGATCTAGATTCAGATTAAAACAGATGAAAAAAATCTGTAATTTTCTAAAAAAGTTAAAATCATGACTGGTATATGCTTTTCTTAATTACCATAGTGTATTAATTTGACACCAACCCCCTTGTTTGTACTTAATATTTGTAACTATTAAAGTTAAAATTTAATCCACTAAAAATTTTTTTAATACATAGATCCTTTATATCTATATATCTTTATATATTCATTTATCCTTTTTTTAATGTTATGATCATCTACAGTTGGTTGTTGTTAACCTTCCAATAATTGTTTGATTTTTTTTTATTTCAAGTCATGCTGGATATGCTTATTGTGGGGCATGTGCTGCTTATGCATACAAACAAATAAATCCTATGACAATGTATGTTTTTTATTTAGTTGTTTTTTTAAAGACTTTCTTTTATTTAATGTAGATTAAACTAACTTGGTAATTTTAGTTGAAGCTTGCTGTCTCCATTTTAGTGTGATTTTCAAGTCTTTAAAATGTAAGCCACAATCTTCGGACTCTATCATTTATTCAAATGCATTTAATTCCAGAGAGTTTTAGTATATGGCATCATTGTAGAATTTCAATAAGATATCTGAAAATATCTTTTTTTCTTCAAAGTATATATATTTTTTTTACTTAAGAATTTGTTTAGTTAATATTATATAGATTTTTTTTTTCCATCATAAATTACTAAAGAATTTGTTATTTATCTTATTTACTAATTTTTGCCGAATTCCTATTAAAAATTAACAAAATATTACTGATATTTTTTGCTTGTCAATTGCTTTAATTTTTTTTTTTTTCAAAATCTTTGCTTCCAACAAGGCTGCAAGCAACCACTATTAGAGTTGGAAGTTACTGGAAGAAAAAAGATAAAGTTTGTAGAGTAAGAAAACGACTGACAGACGGCTTAAAAGATTGCAAATTATATGAATCAGGAAAGCAAGGTGAAGGAAGCGAATTCCAAAGAAATAGTGTTTGAGAAAAAAAACTAGATAAATACAAGTTTTTGGAGCACTTAGGAACAGCCACAGTAAAAGGATGAGACTTAATTGAATGATGAGTAATACAAGAATGAATTATACTAGATGGCATAAGAGACGCTAGCTCTTTAGAGCAGTTCCCATTGTAGTATTTGTAGAAAGCAACATTACGATGATGTGATAATAGTTGGAGGTTGGCTGCAAAAGCAGTTCCAACTATGTTTACTATGTGTTTTTGCACCTTGTCTAAAAGAGAAAGGGTATCATTGGAAGATCCGCCCCAGATATGACAATAAAGAGATGCAACCTTAACAGATGCTAATTTTGTAAGGGGTTTGGTATATGGTTTCCAAGAAAGATCTAAAGTAAGAGTTATTCCTAGAAGAAGAAGGGTAGACGACTCATTGAGTACATTACCATTCATAAATAAAAGAAAATTTAAATTATTGCAATAACGATTGGCTGAAAAATCTTGGCTTTTATCTGAATTAAAGTTCACCAGCTACTTTGAGCCCAATACTGTAGCAGAAGTGAGATCCTTTTCAAGCTCAAATGCCCCCTCCAAGCAATCAGAGACTGTTATTAAATGACTATTATCCTTATCAAGATTCTGGTTAAATAACTATTTTATATTATTTAACCATTTAAAAGTTTAATTAACAGTATTTATTTGCTAGACTTTTTATTGGCTACTATAATTCATGAAATTTATATTTAATCAAGCGAGAATATAGTTAATGGAAGTTGTTTTGTAAAATATGTATTGATTATTTTATTTTTAAAATTGAAGTATTATTGCTGAAGATTGCATAAAAAGGGAGCGTTATCGAGTCAGTTTTAAAATTAAAAACATTTAATGGAAAACTTGTAATTGTCAATTTTAATAGTTTTTTTTTATTTTTAATGTTAAGGTTTTAATGTAAAATACTTGCCAAATACAACATATAAGTTAAGAAATATAACATATAAGTTAAGAAATACAACATATAAGTTAAGAAATACAACATATAAGTTAAGAAATACAACATATAAGTTAAGAAATACAACATATAAGTTAAGAAATACCAAATTTAATATATTTTTTAACGTGGGCTTCAATGCATTGACCATTTAAATTGCCATCTGTTTTGAATTATTGTTATAAAATATAAATCATGTCTCTAATTAAGAAAAAGCTGACTGTAATTCAGAATATTTAATAAAGTGAAAACTATCTTTTTTATATAACTGCTAACTGCTATATATATATATATATATATATATATATATATATATATATATATATATATATATATATATATATATATATATATATATATATATATATATATATATATATATATATATATATATATATATATATATATATATATATATATATAGAGAGAGAGAGAGAGAGAGAGAGAGAGATAAAGAGAGAGAGAGAAAGAGAGAGAATATATATTTTTTAAATTTATATATATAAATATATATATAAATTCTTTAAAATGTTACCCCTGCATATACCAATGAAACAAAACTATGCCATAATCATCTTGTCAGCACTAGAAACTGCATCTAATTCGTGGGTAGCTCAGAAACTTAAGAATCTTGAAATGGCTAAAGACCTCTTCACCTGTATGCTTTCTGCAGCTTAACCAGAGTACTTGAAGCAGTAAAAAATCAATTCAACAAGCAAGCAAAATTTTTCAATAAGAAAATTGAAGTCTTAAAGAAGGCTATGGAGAGTATCGCGTCTATTAATGGCACACAAATTCAACAAGCGGATACATCTTACTCTAGCATACTTGGTAAATCGCAAAAAGAAGTTCTAGGGCATCATAAACTTTTATATGCTTTCAACAACAACTCTAAAGATCGACAAGCGAGGGAGAGCAACGTCGTTTTAGTCAGCGTCCTTGAATCGGAAAAGGCCGATTATACAAAAGTTGAGGAGGTTTGCAAAGCAATTGGAATCAAGGGGATTACAATCAAGTCAGTATGTTGTCTAAAAAAAGGTAAAAATGTCGAAAGTAATTCACCTAGCATTCACCAAGTCTGTCTAGCCCAGCCAAGCAAATCCTTGTGCTACAAGCAGGAAGCCACCACAAAGTTAAAGAATTTAAATAGATATATATGGGAGAATAGGATGTTGCTCAGCTTGAGTTTGCAAAACTCAATAAGGAGAGAAAGAAGAACAACAGCAAATTAGAGGCAGTTAATCTTCTTGACAAACCCTTTCATTTCATTGTCCATCGACTGTCCAGTTAGGTACAATGCATTGACACCATCAAATAGGCCAAACAAAAAAAAAAGCATCTTTTCTACTTTTGAACAACGAAAATAAATTGTACAAAAAATCAATCGGTCCACTAATACCAATGCCTCAAAATCCACAATTGCAAGTCATAATTGGAATCATAATGCCTCAAAATCCAAAATTGAGAGTCATAATTGGAGAGCGTATATCAGATTAGAAAAGGTTATTAGCAGCGTACCGCAAGGTTCGGTCTTGGGTCCATTACTGTTTGTTCTGTACATTAATAATCTTTCAGAAAAATTGGAACATCAAATCAAAAGATGCAAAGAGTCAGCAAACAGACTTAGACAAAGCCATTGACTCGCATTGCTGGCTCATGACATTTAATACTGAAAAGTGTAAAGCCATGCATACTGGCTGAAGAAAAAAAAAGTATAAAAACGAGACTATTTCATGCCAGGACTAGTGGGTCTGTCACTTGCAATTGAAGTTACTCATTTAGAGAGATAGCTTGGAGTTCTTATCTCAGATGATCTTAAACTTAATGCTCAAGTTTCAGAAGCTGCGGTAAATGCTAACTGCTCCTTAGGGAGGCTAAAAATTTTTCACAGCCGTATTTTTTCACTGTGGAAAGAACTGTATACCACGTATTTTTGTCCTCACCTAGAGTATGCTATTCAAGTGTGGTCACTGTACCTAAGGGCAAATATAAAAGAGCTAGAAAAAGTTCAAAACCGTGCTATAAAAAACATTTCTGAGATTTAGCATTGTACCACTGAGCAGCGAAGATAGGTCTTATGACACTTCAAGAAAGAAGAATAAGAGGTGATTTAATTCTGATGTTTAAGTTCATGCATGAAATTGACAAAATAAACTTTTACATACCATTCAGTCGCTTTTCGTCATGAAATTATATTATGTGTGGTCATAATCAAAGACTTGCACAACAAAGAGTACTCAATTGCATGCTAAGAGAGTAGTTTTTCATAAGCCGTGTTGTTTTGCAGGAATACCCTAACAATATTTTGTTTTTGGAATACCCTGCTGCAAATAGTAATTGACGCGACTTCAGTGAACATGTTCAAAAATCGACTAGATGAACATTTAAATCAGTTAAAAGAAAATTTTAAAAATAACTGGAAATAAACTCTCTTCACATATGTTTCCAGTATTCTATTTTCTAAAAGTATGGTACTTGTATCCCAGATGTGCGCAAGTATCTTAAGACTGTTATTATAGAGGTGCCTGATGCAGCGCATCTTGGTTGGTAGTTTAAAAATAGCAAACATTTATGATTTTTTCAAAAGTTTATAAATTTATTACGGGTTGTTGTAAATATTTTAAATTATTGATCACTAAAAATAAACTAAAGTAAACATATATTTATTAAATTTAAGCTTGTACCATAAAAATCTCAATTTTATTCGGTTCTTGCGGTCAATAATAAAAATCCTTGTTTAGCTTTCTTTAAACTTTATAGGAAAGTCATACAATTGATGAGAAACTTGTTTTAAAAACAAAAAAACAAAAAAATAAAAACAAATGATAGTGAATCGAAAAAAGAAAGTATACTATTTGATTTTTTTAAAAAGAAAAATTTCTACCATGACATCATTTTTAATACTAAAACTATTTAGAATTAATCATGCTTAAATAGATTATAAAGTCTGTAAATTCCGGCGTGTATTTTAAATGCTTAAAAATCGCACCATAATGGCGGCAAGTTTCAACTAAAATTAAAAAGTTAGTTTTTCTTAGTATACGTTTATTACTCTGTTTTAATAAAATAAACTCAGCCCAAACTTTTTTTAAAAACATTTTCTTTAATAAACATAACTTTTCTCAGTACTTTCCCTTTACTTTTCTCCAGTACTTTTCTCTTTACTTTTTTCCAGTACTTTTCTCAGTACAATCCCTTTAAAGTTGCATTATTTATTTTATTTTTTAAAATAATGTTTAGTAAACGGATATTTATATTGGGACCATCTCATCATGTAGCTTTACCAGGTTGTGCAGTTACACAAACAACTTCATATGAAACTCCTTTGTACAATTTAAAAATTGATAATTTAATAAACAATGAACTCCTGGGGACTGGAAAATTTGACATTATGAGTAAAGAAACTGATGAAAATGAACATAGCATAGAAATGCAGTTACCTTTTATTGCTAAAGTAATGGAAAGGTGAAAGTTTAAGTTTATAAAGATCTTTTTTAAAAATCAAAAGATAAGAATGTATATAGAGTTTGTTTTAATAATAAATAAACTTTTTTTTTATAGTAATAAAGATAATTTCACGGTGGTACCTATTTTAGTTGGCAGTACAAGTCATGAACAAGAGCGGTTGTATGGCGTTATTTTTAGCAAGTATTTAAAGAACCCTGAAAACTTGTTTGTCATCTCTTCAGATTTTTGTCATTGGGGAAAACGTTTTCGCTTCACACCTTATGATAAATCCAAAGGAGAAATTTATGAATCTATAGAAGATCTAGACAAAATGGTAATTTAAAATTAAAGTCAAAATTTGCTCAAAATTGTATATATATGTGTATATAAAGTGTATATATATATATTCTTTCTATGGAAAGATTTTAGGGGTAAACAGAAAATTTCTATTGATCAGTCTCACATAATACACATAATAGGCTGGCATAGATGTACAGCTGTGCTACATTCTTTCCTGATAAGGGATTTCCTGATACATGATTTCCTAATAAGGGTGCAGCGCTAAAACTCAGTTCAATGGTTCTGAGGTCAACTGGTAGAAAGGTTTCTTGAACACTGTAGAAGCACTAAGAAAAACTGATTCCATCAAAAGCTGTAAAATATCAGAGTTTAACAGTGCTATGTTGCATGTGGAAGGTGTCCTTGTTAGTACTTTTGGTTTGTATTGTTGAGACCATACAAAGAGCTTTTTGTTACAACATGGTAAGCAGGAATAAGGCAACTCCATATATTATTTCTTATGATATTATACACTGTATTTAAGTCATGTTCTATAAATACTAAAAACATGAATAAAGCACCTTAAAATATTACTTAAAAAAAAACCCATCATTATCCCCATTGCCTCCTCCGATGACGTGTTTCAACTTTCTGCTGAAAATTGCACCTGCCTTTATAGTCTCCTAAGTTTAAATAAGCATGCAAGCTTTTATTCCTCCTTATTGGTTTCAGGTCAGTCTTTCCTCTAACTGTTGTGTTCTTCGATTTGTGCAATTTTTATCTTTAATTAAAATCATTTTTTAAAAATTCTTTATACAAGAATAAAGGTAAAAAAAAACAAACTGGAAGTGGAAGTCTTTTTAGGTAGAAGATCAAAACAGTTTTACACTAAGTTAATATCTTTAGATTACTAAAACTCATGTTTTATTTTAGAAAGGTTCTAGAGACCTAGATTCTTTAGAATTATAGAATATCTTTAACAATATCATTAACAAAGTGTTAAACTCTGTCTCTTGTAAATTGATCAGATTTTGTTACCTTTCCTAAAGAATGTATTATTTTGATTTTGTTTACATCCATGTGCAAGTATGTCAACATTTTAAAATTGAAAAAGGCAAAATTAAAAAAGATGTCAATATATATATTATATAAGACAACACCAAGATCTTTTAAAATAAGACCAAACTTTCCAATTTTTTTCTATTTCTTACAAATTAAGTGTTAAAAGACAATTGTTTTTAAAATAAAGTAGTTTTTTTTCTCAATTCCTCATCAATATAATCATCTTTTTCATTTTTTTTTTTACTTCTTCCTAATAAGATTTTAGGAAGATTCTGATGGTTCACAAATTGAAATGCTGGTGCCAAACAAAATGTGCAGATATTCAATGCTAAAAAATGTGTATATATAATTTTTGAAAAAGAGTCTAAAACACTTAATTTTAAACACAAGATTTTTTGAAGTTTTTGAAATTTTCCATTCCCCTCTAAAAACATTCTTCAAAAAATCAGGTAAAATCCATAAATCTGTCATTATTACATCAACAAAGCTGGTTTCATTTGGAAATAACAATGATGGAACAATAAGAAAAAGATTAGTTTTACTGGATTTTTTAAGAGAAAATTTTTCTTTGTGGATATTTCTTTACTTATTACTATCTATTATCTGCAGCCTTCAGCCTTTAATTAGTACCTTTCTAAATCTTTAAATTTTTCATTTGGCTCTTTTTAATTTTCCACTTATCCTTCCTGCTTCCTGGAGTCATTCTTTGGTGTATATATATATATATATATATATATATATATATATATATATATATATATATATATATATATATATATATATATATATATATATATATATATATATATATATACACACACACACACAGGGGTGTACACTCATGGTTGTTCGATGGGCGATAGTACCAGATGATTGAGTTCTGTAAAGGGCGAATAAAAATATTCACTTGATGCAATTAAGTTGCCTGATAGGGCAACTTGATTTTTATTCGCAGTTCAAGTTTTTTTAAATTCAAGAACTCTATAAAAAGCTAATGAAAAAATAATAATGAAATTATACTTTAAAAATCACATTGCAAAATTTTATTTTGCATTTTTTATTATTAAAACATAAGAAATTTGGTGAGTGTTTTAAGGTATCTAAGGATTGTTTGGTTGTTAGGTTGATCACTGAGTTTACAAATAAGTTAAAGAACTTCATGTAAGTTGCATTGGTTATTTTCATTGTTCATCATGTAATTTATCATGATAATTATAAGATTAATTTTATATTATCATTTATAATGATTTCATTCATTTAGTATTATGGCATCAAACTTTTTCATTGTACATAAAAGAAAGCTCAAACCTGTTAGTACGTCCAACGCAAGCAGCAATGATAGTCAAAGCTAATATGAAAAAAACAAAAGAATTCGAACCATTGTGATTAAAAGAATAATCTTGGCTTAGGTACAAAAAAATATCAGATTTGTATAAAGAAGAGGCAACAAAGAATAATAAAAAGCTTATAAAAAAATTAAACAAGGAATGCAAATCAAGAAGGTACAATGAATGATGAATCGAGGATGTCATGAATTGCTTAAATTGCTGTATTATCACACCAACTGATTAACAAAAAAGCACACTCCAACATAAAGCGAGTTTAAACAATTTATATTTGGTATTATATCATATAGCATTTATATTTGGTACTATATCATATAGCATTGAGAATGTCGCTAAGCATTGCAAACCCACAAACACAAAGCACGTTCTCTAAAAAACTTATTAAAAAAATAACAAGTTGAGAAAAAAATAACAAGTTGAGAAAAGCTTAACAGGTCAAAACAACTTTGTCAGAAGCTTAAAAAATATATTTACAATTTTTGTTTTGAAACATGTATGGTATGTTGAAGGAGGGAAAACCATTTTCCGATTACGAGTTTTTATTAAGATTAGATAAAACAAAATATTGGGAGAGCATATCACAATAGACAAGGAGGAATTGGTAGAAGGAGGATTTTGGAATGGCAATATCAGATTATTTTTTAAATGAACTCCAAATGCAATTCTTCATCGCTAATTTTTTTAGCATTGTTGTATACGAATCAACTGATGCCTCTAGATTGGAACAAATTTTTTTTTTTTGTAAATCGTGGTACAACCCTCTCTCAACTCTTTAACTCCGAAATACGAACCTTGACAAGCAAGGCCGCTGCGCTGAGAAATTAAGTTGATTGCGGTACTTCCAGGGACATGGTGGGAGTCAAACTCCGAACCTCTCGCTTACAAAGCGAGCGGTCTTACCACTACACCACTAGCGCATAAAAATGGTTAGTTACCTGTACTATTCAGTTAATGCAAATATCAAATATTTTTCTTTATACTTTCCAAGAATTTGTTGAAAAAAAGGGCACCTATTTTTTTATTAAGTAAGCGCTCAATTCATATGAAAAATTATTGGTGTATATGTCAGCATGTGCTTTATCTGAAAGTGGAAAGATGAATGCTATTATTAGTTTACAAAATTACTTTTATTTACGAAAATTGTTTATATTTTACACTTAGCTCTATAAGGAAAAATGGCTAAAATATGCGAGAACATCACTGAATAAAATTTTTTTTTGTTTTAAATTAGTAAAAAAAATATTTTAAAATTGGTAAAAAAAGACATAAAGTATAATTATAAGTTGTTTTTTTTTCTAAATTATTGCCTTTAGCAATTTATCTTTTACTTTTAAATGACATTTTAATAAAGGAATTTACAATAAGTTTTTTCAGAATTTTAAAAACTTTCACTGTCAAAAGACATAATGATAAATTGTTTCAAGGTTTAGATAAAATGAAATAGAAATATATAAAAATATGAAAGTAACAGGAAATGAAAAAAATTATAAATAATTTTTGTTTTAAAAGAAAAGTTGTTTAACTACTTTCTTTTGTTATAAATGTTTTCACTTAATGGTTTTTGCTTTCATTCTAATAAATTACTAACTTTATATAGACACAAATTTTTTGAAAAGTTTACTTATTACACCAAAAAATAAGTTTTATAGCTAGAGGTATCAAACTCTAAAATTTGACTTTGTTGTTCAGAATTCAAATCTATTTATATTAGAGCTTGATGTTTCAAAGTTTTTTGGACTTTTAAATCTCCCATTAGGGGAACTTCAAAAATCTAAAAATTTTTACATTTTTTTTCTTACATACAATCAATATTTTTATTTTCTCATATATAATCAATATATCTCAAATGAACAAAGTTTAATTAAAATACAGAAATGCAAACCTTCCCAGAAGATGCATGCGATTATTTGTCTCGTATGTCCATGCATAAGTTGTTTATCTTAGACAACTTGTTTATGGCCATTTGCAAGTTTTATTATATTTGGTGTTTCAATACTTAAAAACTAAGTTTCAAAAACAAAGAAAGCAAAACTAACAAAAAAAAAAAAAAAAATTTAAAGTCAACATTAAGAAAAATGATTTTCCTATATTTTATTTAATTTTTTAAAGAGGAAAGTGAAAGTATATATTGCTATCTGTTTGTAAAATATTTTTATATAGGTATAATTTTTAAACATAATGTATATTAAACACAAATGAGCAAATAAATATAATTATATAATTAAAAAAGTGATTTCAAAGTAATGCCTATGAGGTACATAGATATGTATATACGCATTGTGCATAAAAATATCTACTTCATAGGCTTTGCTTTGAAATCGCTTTTTTAATTATATAATTATATTTATTTGCTCATTAGTAAAGGCATGTTTAGCTTGTTTGGAATAGGCGTTTACTTTATTACGGAATTTCCGTGGTTCTAATCCCATCAGTATCCAATAATTTATTGTTTTTTAAATACCAGCTGTATTTAAATGAAAACAATAAATTTATATATCTGGTTTCTAATCATTTATCTTTTCTTTTTTGTATATAAAAAGTCATTCTGTTATATGTTTTTGAATGATACACATCTCTTCACATTCAGGTTTCTTTATTTAAACCTTTTAGTGTATTTTCTAAGAAAGGCGCACGCACATATATAGGTAGTTTATATGCTTCAATTATGCCTTATCATCTACACATTTTTCACATAGCCATAATTGTTTCATATTACCTTTCTATTTTTGTACGTTTTTTACCCCCAATTTTGTAGTACTTTGTAATTTTGGATACATGTTACTTTTTAACATTTAACATTTTTAACAGTGCGCTTAGTTCTACCCACCCCTCTCTTCTGGTCTACTATGTATTTAGTAAAATATATGTAAACAATAATAAAATTAATATAATTATGTTATCTTTAATATGATCTTTTCTCCTAAGTAACTGGTTTTTGAGTCTGGTTGTAAATGATAAATGTTATGTAACAAGTGTACGTATTGCAAAATATAAAATCTTTTGAAATACTAAGTTCACTTAGTATTTCACCACCCTGATAAATAAAAATAAAAGCAGTACGCAAATTATTTAAATAATTAATTTTTTTTCAATTTAAACTTATTTTAATTTCCTATTTTGTTAGTTTTGCTTTCTTTGTTTTTGAAACTTTTTTTTCACAAAGTATTAAAATGTCTAATATAATAAAACTTGCAAACAGTTGTGACCAAGTTGTCTAAAATAAAAAACTTATGTGTTTTTATGAGACAAAAAACCCCGTGTCTCCTGGGAAGGCTTGGGAATGGAGATTTGAAGCTCTAACAATATCAATCCTTAAATTTCTGACTTTCTATTGGTGTCCCAGAATTTATTAAATGAAATTCCCAATTTTTTGAAATTCTTGTTTTAGGATATAAATAGCAAATCAAACTTAGGAATTTATCTCATATTACAGATCATCATCATCATCATCATCATCATCATCATCATCATCATCATCATCATCATCATTATCATCATCATCATCATCATTATCATCATCATCATCATCATCATCATCATCATCATCATCATCATCATTGTAATCTTAAATTACAACAACAACAACAGCTACAACAACAGCATTAATTAATGCATTATTAATTTAACATCATTATTATTATTGTCATCATTGTAAATTATGATAAATAAATTTCATAATTAATTTATGAGCAATAAACTTTCATAATTATTTTAGGGCATGAAATATATTGAGCAGCTAGACACTAATTCTTTCTATAAATATCTTGAAAAGTTTTCTAATACTATCTGTGGAAGACATCCTATTGGAATTTTACTAAATGTAAGTATTTCACAGTATGTGAGCTTTTTTTAGTATGACATTTTTAGTTGAATATAAAGTTTGTATTCTGTGGGAATTTTTTTTCCCTCTATAAATTTAAAAATAAGTAATAAAAATTTTATTATAATATGAATTACATAAATAATGTTAGGTGCTTAGGTGATTAGTTTTTAACTCACGTAGTTAAAAACTAATCAATAGAGTGATACCTAAAAAAAAATTGAATAAAAACAATGGAGTGACAACCTAAAAATGATTTTAAAAATGTTTAATTAAAAAACATGATAAGTAAATAAGATTAATATAAAAACAAAAGAGATGAAATGTATTGCAAATTAAATGTTTATATTTAGTAACATATTTGAATCTGATTTCTCTACTGTAACAGCTCGCTTGACTTGTTACAAAGTTCCATCCTTTACTGATCTTTCTCTGCATGCTTTAAAAATTATTTGTTTAGTTTTTTCCCCACACTTCAACCCTTTATAACTCTCTCCCATATTTGATTTCCTGACTTATACAACCTTTAACTTTCCAAATCTTCAGTCGTTTCCTTCCTCTTTAATACTATTAATTTTTTCAAGTAATTTCTAACTTAATAGTGAACGCTTTCAGCCTTGTTGGAATTTTTTAAAATACAAATTCACCTTATGAGTTTAAGCTTAAAAAAAAGTTATTTGCCTATTGCATAAAAAATAAAAGTTTTCAAACCTACTTATTATGTCATAATTATCAGAGATTATCTTTTGATCTATGAATTATGCATATTTCTTTTTTAAATGCATATGCATTTAAAAAAGAAATATGCATAAATTTTGCATACTAGATAGCAAATATTAGCAAAGTTATAAAAAAATAAAAAAAAATTTGTTATTTTGAATATATTCAGTAATTCAGTATAATAAACAGCTTTATTCTCTAACCATTTTGATTTGTAAGATTTTTATAGTTTAAGTTAAACTAAATTGATTTACTATACAACAGCTTTTTTTAATATTTTGCAAATTACAAACTTTTCTAAGTTTTTATATTTGAGTTGTGCAAATGTAATGTACAAGAAGGTTTGCAAGAAAAATCTAAAATGTCAAAATAAAATTTACCTAAAAATTTTCTTTTAAAAAAAAACAAACTAAGATCGGAGGTTTCTGAAGTTTCTGAATGTAATAAATAAAGTTAGGGGACTATTCGAATGAAACTTGAAATGAAAAAAAGGTGCATCTAAGACATAATAGATCTGGCAAAATAATTAGGATCTGGATCCTACTTAGATTTTTAAAATTTGGATTCGAATCCAAATCTCGATCCAATTTTAACTTAAAGGCAAATCATTGCATTTGATTGTTTGAAGTAAAAGTCTTAGTAAAAGATCTTTAGCTAACGATATAACTGCTGATTTTTTTAATCCAACTGCATCTAAAGTATCAGATAATAGAAAGCTAGGCTTGTTTAAATATTCCATGAGGTGAATCAAAATACGGTTTTTTATGCTTAATGTTCTTTTTTTTTAAAGCTTGATATAAGTTTTACTTATGTCAGATTCATATGATTGGAGTTGACTTGAAACAAAACAAAAACTTTTTCTGCTGTAAGCAAATTTGAGTCTTGATGGCAAAGTGCTCCAAACCTTAAAGTCTTAACTAAATCTTTAAGCTGATTTATATTTTATTGGAGACTGCACTTGATAATAAATAAACCCATTTTAATAAATTTGCTTAACTTGATAAAGCGTTTAACCATTAAAATAATGAGTTCCAACGTGTTTTGCAGTCTAAAATAGGTTTAAGCTTATTTCCAAATTCTGGTTCATGCTTCTGCAACATATCGTCATTTTTAACAGGTGATTTTTTTAAAAAATTTATTATTGTGCGAACATTAATTTAAAATTGAAAAATATTTTTTATAACAACAGCCTCTGCTGAAATGTTTTAATTAGGTATATTCATCAACAGTTAAGCTAAATCTGATATTGTTAGGTTTTATGTCTTTTAATTCAGCCGTTAGTTGATCCTTAATGTCTTTAGCATGATTTATTAAGTAAGCGCTCAATTCAAGTGAAAAATTATTGGTGTATATGTCGTTAGTGGATTTAGTAAAATATTTTTAATGGAAATCGTCCTTTGGCTAGAGCAAATTCTTGTAACCTTTTACTTTTATCAACAGTGTTCAATGAAAGTCCATCAATAGCAATGAGATCTGTTAGTATATTGGCGATAGTATCTTATGCAAGTACAAAATTTCTGATATCTTTTTGGGATGAACTTTAAACTGCTTTTGTAGGATCTAATAATGATAATTCTTTCTTATGCTTAATCTTTAAATGCTTTTACGAAACGCTTGTGCAGCGTCCTTATTACAATGGCGTTACTGGTTACGCATTCAGTAGTTTTGTTTACCTTACACTATAAGAAATGTTCCTAAGAAGATCAAACAAGAGCATTGCTTTTAAAACTGTTCTTTAAAACTGTTTTTCGAAGTTGCTTTGAAATAGTATAATGCTTCAAAGTGCGGCAGTTTAAAACTATGTGTATGCCATAATGGTACGCAACATCAACATTATAAAAAGTATTTTTATGTAAAAATCAAGCAAATACCTGAATTAAATTGGTTCCGGATCTCAAAAAATTAACTTAATTTTATTTAACTATTACTTAATATTTCTTCAAATTTTTAAATGTTCACTTAAATATATATATATATATATATATATATATATATATATATATATATATATATATATATATATATATATATATATATTTATATATATATATATATATATATATATATATATATATATATATATATATATATATATATATATATATATATATATATATATATATATATATATATATATATATATAATTCTATTTTTCAGGCTGTGAACGAAGTGCGATCGGCTGATGCTTCTTTTAAATTTCATTATTATTCCCAGAGCAGCAAATGTCGACGTTTTGAAGATTCGTCTGTTAGTTACGCTGCCGGAACTTTAACTCAACTCTGATTTTATGAATATAAAACTACATACCTATCATAATTTTGTTGTTTTACAATAATGTGTAATTTGGTTTTACAATAACAGCTACAAGTCGAACTTTGGCTTAAAACTTTGGCACGCTACCATAATCCTATAAGCCCTTCAGGTTTTTGGGTGAAAAAAAAGTATTAATAACTGAAAAAATTAATTAAAAAGTATTAATAACTGAAAAAAAAAATTAATAACTGAAAACATTCTTAAACCCATTTTTTTAATTGAATGAGTGTCTTTTTTTGTTGATGTTCAGAAATCCTATAAAGTTCAATTAAACTTTTTGACTGGGGTAGAATCTAAATATAATAAACACTTTTGTTAACACAACAATATTCGTAGGTTCTACAATTGAACCTGTCATTTCAAAAAAATTTAGCTGTTAGTTTATAAATTTAAATAAAGAATTTCTGTGTGATTAAGTTTATTTTATAAAAAATAAAACTTACATAGGTTGTATACGTTTTATATTTATTTAATCTTATTTTTAATTTCTTTAGCAGCGTAGACATTATTTTAATAAAAATCATGTTTTTGTAGATTTTGAAATTTTTAATAAATGAACTTGTGTCCTTTTTGAAATGATAGGTTCAATTCTTTGCGTACACCAAAGAAACCTATGTAGAAAATTTAGAATCTTATTTGATATTTGAAGAAGGAAAAAAGTTAATCCAATCGGATTAATTTTTTTTTCCTCGTGAACTTTTTAAATATTTGTAATTAAATAAATTCTTAGTAACAAATTGCAAGTTATTTTCAATAGATTTTGTAAACCTTAATTTCAACAAGGCTCAGGGGCGGACATTAATATATATATATATATATATATATATATATATATATATATATATATATATATATATATATATATATATATATATATATATATATATATATATATATATAAAACTTTATAAAAACTTATATATTATAAAACTTAAGCAAAACAATAATTGAAACACGATGTGTACATTTGTGCATACCAGTCCTATTATATATTTTAATAAAATTATTATTTTTATAAAATTTTATATACCCCATAAGGAGGTCTTGTGCATTAACTTTATCAAAAAAAAAAAAAAAAAATTAATATATTCTATGTGCCCGTGTACGAAGGGGATATATATATATATATATATATATATATATATATATATATATATATATATATATATATATATATATATATATATTTAGATTATAAAATTATTTATTTACAGATCTATGATTAAAAACTATATTTTCACATTACATTAATGGAATAAATTAAACAATGCAAAATTTTATATTTATATTTAACAAATATATTATAAAATAACTTATTTTATAATAAAATATTTGTATATTATAGTATGCAATTTTAAATTATATAAAGTATTTAGAGATGCATTCTTAATGCCACATTTTGTTAAAATAAATAAAATTTTGAAATCTTCATTTTATTAAATCTTGCTGGTAAATACATAAAAACTAAAAAAAATCAATTAAAAAAAACAAAAGCATTTGCCAATATAACAAATACAACTTAGCATTTTATATTTAAAAACGATAACACCAAATCGGTGTTATTATTGTTTGGCACTATACCATGGTGCTTAACATATATATTTCAGGCGCCAAAATAAATAACATATCCACTCACATTCACATGAAGTTAACGGAAAATAGCATGTAAATTTTTTAATGCTTGCATAACCAGGAAAATTTATCACTTTTAACAACTCAGTAGTATTAATATTGAAACTACCTTTTTAAATTTAACTAAAAGGGTTCCCATAAGTGAAGCCCACAAGGTTAAAGCATGGGAATTCAGTAAATCTGTTTCATAAAAGTCACTAAAATATATAATTGAACTTTCTGAAATCATTTTTGTAGGAACTAACACAAATTTTTTGAAAACTATCCAAAAAAAAGTGAACCTTTTCCACCAAACATATTTTACAAAAGCATTTTAATTGTTTTTTTATTAGCCAATGGAACGGTTCCTTTAATATGCTCCTCTAACATTTGTTGTCTGGTACGGACAAGTTTAAAAAGTATGATACCTCATTAAAGGGTGCCAAAAAGGATACTTGACATATTGCAAAACATGACATAGTGCCAAAAAGATACTTGACATATTGCACTTTGTATGAGGCACAAATAACTAAATTAAGTCCTTGACTGTTGCAATCAGCATATACAGTTTTTCATTCAGATTTAAAATACAAGAGGACAAACCTTTAGTATGACCATCAACTGCTCAAGCATTATCGTATAAATAAACTCTGCAATTTATGATATATGAAAAGGAATCTGAAATTTTTACCAAAAAACAAAATAATCCTTACTAGTAACACCATTTGTGCAATCTAAGAAACTGATAAGTTCTCTGATTGAACTTTGGATTAACAAACCATATAATTAATAGCAGTTGTTCTTTATTTTAACTGTCAGAAGCTTCATCAGCATGAGTAAAAAAATGTTTACAATTTTTAAACTATTTTGTAATTAATAACTACTCCCAAACACTTTTTTACCAGATGATATGGCGTCTTAGATATGTAAGAAGCAATTTTTTTGTTGATAATATCTAAGTTGATCTTGAAGAGTTTTATCACCAGCATAAACACAGAAGTGTTGCAAACACTAGATTTTTTAAGAAAACTAAATAAATCTACTAGAGTCGACAAGATTCGTATCTAACACAAGAATTTATATTTTTCTGTAGTATACCTTAAATATTTCAAGGTGTAAGTACAAAGGTACGTCTAACAGTGTTTTTTCATCAATACTATAAAATCAATTACTTAAAATTTAAATATTGAAAACAAAGCTAAATAAAAAAATGGATTTTGACTAAGATTTTACTTAGAATGTATTATTGTGGGTACGTTCAAAGTTTGTTATAAGTAAAGAAATTAATATTTTGCTTTTATAACAAAAAAAACTTAAAAACTTTTTTCATTGTTTAATAAAATAATATTGCGTGATTCCATTGATCTTTCTAATTAAATATTTTTATTTATTATTACTTTAACCTACAGTTAAAAAAGATTTTTTTGTTTGAATTTGAAAAACCGCTCTAAACAAGAAGCAACTTTATTTACTCTAAACATTAAGCACAAAAATATATATTTTTTATACATGATTATATAAAGATAATAAAACTTAAATTTAATTCACTTGACGGGTAAGTAAAAAATATTTTTATACTCTTTTTTTTTTAGATTTAGTTTTATTTTTAGGTAGAAGACGGCGTGATTTTTGGGTGTTACGCTTTTACCAGTTATCATTAGGTAACACTTTTTAAAATTTTTTGTTTTTTCAGCAAAATCCAGCTGAAGGATGTATTCAAAGCAGGCCTTGACAACTAAATTGAAGCTGTTGAATGCTTCAATTACGCACACAATATTGAGAACCATGTTTGTCTGAGCAAGTTGCTGCAGCATATCCACATTTTTAAAAAGCTTCCTGCATTCATTTCCCTCAAACTGGCCCCCGTGATACGGGCTCAGTTGAATGTGGAGGGCGGTTTGCCACTTAACAGCTTCTATCCAAGCAGTTTTAAGGATCTTGAAAAGATGGTTTACAACTCCTAAGAGGAAATGCAATTCCATCGGTGGAATGTTTTCCAAAATCAGAACATTGGCAGATAAGTGGCTTTCGAATGACATTGACACAAAACAACTTTGCATTAGCAACAACGCGGCCAGATTGCTGAAAAGACTTAAGGCTTGAATTAATTGAGCCCAGTGTTCGCAAGTTTCTAGATTTAGCATTACAATTGGAATTGACGTCACACCAGGTGCAAGGATGCGTACTTGAATGAGTTTGAAGACCACAAGTTATATTTGCAACTTTCATATCACAACCCAAAATAAGTTTAACTTCGTTTGCATCAATCAGTGACCAGAGTTGTTCAATATCGGAGTGTGTTTCTAGCAAATTATCTGAAACCCCAACAATAATTTGTCTCTTGAATCCAGTGTCTTTACCTTTGAGCGAGAGGTTGTTGTTGATGCAGTTGGTCCTTTGAGTGAGATGTTGTTGTTGGTGCAGTGAGCTGATTTCATCCCTTAACGCAGTGTCATCAATCCTTAGCAAAACTTGAGAAAATCTTTGCCACCATCAATTCCAATCTTAACAAAATAGCTACCAGAAATTTTGCGAGACTAAATAACATGATTCACAAGACTTGATAAATCATTGCAGTGAGCAAAACATGAACTGTACAAGAATCTGTTTTTTCGTCTGTGATTTTTAAGTCGCTGCAGGTGAAGAAATTGCTCAATTGTTGACCTAGTCTTAGAAAATTAATATTGAAATTTCGCTCTACTATCTTGCTGCTTGATGTTTTGTTTACAGTTCTAACAAGTTTCTTTAATCCGTTGTTTGACAGGCCCGTATTTAATTGCACATTTACAAGGGCTACAGTGGTCAATATCGGAAGTATCCAGAAGTTTCCAGAAACATGCAGAAGCTTCCAGACGTTTCCAGAATAAGCATCTGGAAGCATCCAGAAGCATCCAGAAGTATCCAGAAACATTCAGAAGCATCCAGACACATCTAGAGGCTTCCAGAAGCATCGAAAAGAAGCATCTAGAATCTTCCAGAACAGGTTCACACAGGTTCATTTTACTATATAAGAGACATGTAAACCGACATTCAGTCAGTATATCGAAGTCAATCAGTCAGTATTATCAAGACAGTTTATCGAAGTGAGTTTTATCAAAGAACATCAATACAAGAAGTGAAATACAACAAGTGTTTCATTACATCAATACAACCCACATCCAACCAAGACGTTGTGTTCCACAGAACATTATTCTATCATCACAAGGTAAATGTAACTCGGTAAGCCTTGAGAAGCGTGATTATTTATTTTTATTATTTTTATGTCTTCAAGTGCAAAAATAGCTTCTGACAGTCTTGGATTGGAACTAAGAAAGAAAATTATTGGCAATTACGTAAGCGGAATGTCACAAAAAAGTATTTGTGATAAATATCGCGTGAAAAAATGAACCGTATCAAGACTACGTTCCAAATATCGTTCTACGGGAAAGTTGGCAGCAGATAACAAAGGTGGAAGACCACGTTCCACCACTTCAAGAGAGGATTCTATGTTTGTCAGATCCGTCAAGAAGGATCCCTGGATATCATAAGTCGAGATACAAAAGCAATTAGAGCTGCAAGTATCGAACCGAACAATCAGACGACGTGCTGTTGAAGCCGGATTGCTTTTTCGACGCCCTGCAAAGAAACCGCTGATTTCACTAAAGAACCAGAAGAAAAGACTCCTGTTTGCTACATCTCATATTGACTGGAATGTGCAGAAATGGGAACTGTCCAACTTCAACATCAACTGTCCAAGTTCAACATCATTGGGAGCGGTGGCATTTGCCGTGTACGTCGACCGGCCGGAAAACGCATCGATTTACATTACTGCCATAAGACCATGAAGCATGGTGGAGGCAATGTAATGGTCTGGGGGTGTTTTTCTGCTAGCGGTCTGGGTCCAATACATCGAATTGATGGAATAATGGACCGTTTTGTGTATAAGAATATCCTGAAAGATGTTATGTTACCTCATACTGAATGGAATATGCCAATAAAATGGGTTTTTCAGCAAGACAAAGATCCGAAACACAATGCAAAAGTAGTCAAGCAGTGGTTTCAAGACAACCACCTATCGGTGATGAATTGGCCGCCCCAATCTCCGGATCTCAACCCTATCAAGAACCTGTGGGAGATCGTCAACCGCAGAATTAATCGTGAAGGTGTTCGTAATAATCCAAAAGGCCTGGGCAGCGATTCCACAAAGTTAATTGATCACCTGAATGAATCTATGCCTCGAAGATGCAAGGCTGTGATCGACAACAAAGGATTCGATATATATATATATATATATATATATATATATATATATATATATATATATATATATATATATATATATATATTATATATATATATATATATATATATATATATATATATATATATATATATATATATATATATATATATATATATATATATATATATATATATATATACAGTATCGGACAAAACAAGTGCAACCAAATAATGCTAATTTAGTTTCTTTATATAAAAGTGCTGCAATTTACAATTTAGAGAAAAAACTATGTAATTGTTTAGAGAAAACGTTCTTCAAGTTTTATTCCATTATTTGTAAACGAAAATTAATAAATTAATCAAAAGTATTAAAAAAAGTTGGTTTCCTTCTGGACAAATCAAGTACAACTCCACAAAATGTTGACCAAGCTGTATTTCGCTATCAATATTTCGTGGCGAATCCTTTGTTGTCGATCACAGTCTTGCATCTTCGAGATATAGATTCGATCAGGTGATCAATAAAACTTTGTGGAACCGAATAATAATAAGGATCAACTTTTTGAACAAATCCAAAAGGCCCAGGCCTGTTCGTAATAAGGATCAAACAGTTCGAAACAATATATATATATATATATATATATATATATATATATATATATATATATATATATATATATATATATATATATATATATATATGTATATATATATATAAATATAAATATATATGTATATATATATATATATATATATATATACATATATATATATATATATATATATATATATATATATATATATATATATATATATATATATATATATGTATTATATATATATATATATATATATATATATATATATTATATATATATATATATATATATATATATATATATATATATATATATATATATATATATACACACATATATATGTGTATATATATATATATATATATATATATATAATATATATATATACATATATATGTATATATATATATATATATATATATATATATATTATATATATATATATATATATATATATATATATATATACATATATATATCTTATACTGCTGAGTTAGGTGAGCATGATGATGTCATACTCACCTAATGTCAAATAGCCTGCTGCCGGGGGCTTCAGTACATACATCGACTGACAAATAGCCTGACTCGCCGTGGAGTGCTGCTACATCGTGTGTGTGTGTGTGTGTGTGTGTGTGTGTGTGTGTGTGTGTGTGTGTGTGTGTGTGTGTGTGTGTGTGTGTGTGTGTGTGTGTAGTTAATTCCCTATAACTCGGATCTCCAAAGAAAATGGTTTGACATAACGAATGTTTGACTTAAACGAATTCCCGTTAAATCGAATTTTGGTTTATATGAGATATTAGTTCAAGTTAAGGCAATTTTTGATGAAAAAAAATTCGATGCTAAAGTATAAGCATTATATATCCACTATTTTACTAAAGAAAGTGTGAAAAATGTTTCAGTGAATAAAGTTACGTATTGTATTTACACAGTAAACTTAAAAGATGACATTGAAAAAAGTTTCGAAGCACAATAAAATTCTTATTACTTAATGATAAAATTACGTGTAAAAGCTTGTGATTTTTAATAGAGAAATTTATTAAAAAGTATAAAATAACTGTTTTTTCAACGGTGTTTTATTACAATTTATATTGCAACAATTTTATTATAACATTATTTTACGTCCGATAACGAATCTATTCCGTTCAGATTTGAACAACATAAAAAAAAATATTAAAAAACCTTTAGCGACTGTGATTTATGTTTTGTATGGAATAACAACTTTAAAAAAAAATATTTATTTAGTTATTTTGATTTTTTTAATTTTCCATACGAAAAGTTTAAATTAAACTATATAAAAAAATTATTAAATTTTTAAATTATTATTTAATAAATTATTATATATTAAACTTTATAAAACTTTTTTCACTGTTTTTTTGTTCAAACTTTTATTCATTTTTATGTGAAAAATTGTTTTTTTCTCAGTTTAAATATTTTTCTTAATTTAACTCTTTTCTTTTTAAAATTAGTTTTAACATCTTTCCTTGAGTTTCTTTTTTTTCTATGTTGTTGTTTATGAATTATTTTTTTGAAAATTATTTAAAAAATTGTTAAATTTTTTCCAGGTTTTTTGAAAACAGTATCTTAATTATTTTAAAAGTTTATCTGATTTATTGAAGGTGACAAAATCTATTTTATCTTATTATTGTCATGGTCATATAAATATTTTTTTTTTAATGAAAAGTATATATTTTCTTTACACACGGGATCAATTGACATCATTACGACGTTTCTTATTTAAGTGAGTTTTTTCAAAGATATTGACGCAGCATGGTTAAGGTACCTTGGTTTATGAACCAATCGTAGTTTATGAATTATGATTCTTGTGTGTATATTCTTGTTTACTTTATTAAAACCTGTTAAGTCTATTAAAAAAGTTAATTAACTTGATTCAGGTTTTGTTTACAATAAAATTTAATAAACAAGTCTGCAAAAAAGTTTAATGCTTATAACAATTATATTATACTGACAACTTTTGGCGTCTGATTTTTAAAATAAATTAAAATTTCCTTTGATGAGATTAAAACCTTTGTTAATGAAATTTGAGTCTGAAGTCGAAAAATGGTGTAGCGCTGTCGTAAAAAATTTAAAAATTTGCTTTTGAACGAAATAAATTCGTATCAAGTCCTGTTCAATTAAAAGAAAACGGCGGTAATTATATATGTTCGGTCTTCATTGCACACATTGTTACAATAGTTTAAAAGTTACGTATTTTAATTGTAAGAAATTGTAAAAATCAAAGTAATTCAAAGTTAGAAAGTTTGTTTAAAATGCATACTACAGTTTCATAAAAATATAATTCACAATGTTTTTACTCTTAATTTATAAAATCGTACAATGGTTTTTGGTGATATTACTTTGTAACAATGATTTGATTCAAAATAGTAAGTAAACTTTACTGCTTTATATATATATATATATATATATATATATATATATATATATATATATATATTATATATATATATATATATATATATATATATATATATATATATTATATATATATATATATATTATATATTTATATATATATTATACATTTATATATATATATATATATATATATATATTATATATATATATATATATATATATATATATATATTATATATTTATATATATATTATACATTTATATATATATATATATATATATTATATATTTATATATATATTATACATTTATATATATATATATATATATATATATATATATATATATATATATATATATATATATATATATATATATATATATATATATATATATATATAATATATATTTTATATTAAAGTCAAAACTAATGTTTGTCCTATTAGTTTTTAAAGTCAATACAATGTTTGTCCTATTAGTTTTTTGTTTTTTTTCATTTTCTGTGAGTGTTTTTCAAGGCCTTTAATTTGTCTATTCAAACCCAGTAGGCACTGGTGAGCCAAATGCAGTAATGGTGAAATACTTATTTTGTAAACAAGAAGTACTAAGTTTGATTGCCAACACATATCTAGCAGCATCACAATAAACTTGTTTTTCTAAGCAGTGGATTTGTTTCTTCAGTTTTATGATCCAAAACTATATTTATATAATAGAAATATAGTTGAGAGAGGTTTATAACAACTATTTTAAAAACAGAAAAAAACAACAAGTTCAAAGTAAAAAGAGCTAGATTGTAGTACTACTGGTTCTACTGGTTTTTTGCATTAACAGTTGCCTTTTTTGCACAATTTCTGACCTGGAGTTATCTATACATATTTTTATTGCAATATCTACACATGTTTCTTTGCAACTTGTTGCTCTGCACATTAGTTCATCAACACTTATTCTTTAGAGTTATAGAGAGGGTTATAACAACAATTTAAAATATCAGAGAGGGTTATAACAACGTTATATTAAAATATAACAATGGGTTATAACAATGTTATATTAAAATATAACAATAATTTAAAATATCAGAGAGGGTTATAACAAGAGGGTTATAACAATGTTATATTAAAATATAACAACAATTTAAAATATCAGAGAGGGTTATAACAACAATTTAAAAATAGTAATAAAAAAAAGTTGTATTGTTATTTTATTATTAAAAACTTAAAACTATTTTTCTAATAAAAATAGTTTTGAGTTTTTAACTTTTTTTTTTTTTGTTAAAATAATAGCTGTAATTATTTAATATTGCAAATAGCAATTACAATTATTTAGTATTGTAAATAGCAGCTGTTTTTAAAAATGTTTTTTTGTTGCTATATATATATATATATATATATATATATATATATATATATATATATATATATATATATATATATATATATATATATATATATATATATAGCAACAAAAAACTTTTTTAAAAACAGCTGCTATTTACAATACTAAATAATTGTAATTGCTATTTGCAATATTAAATAATTACAGCTATTATTTTAACAAAAAAAATTTTATTAAGTGAATTTAGCAGGGATGCGGAGTCCCAAAAAGGACTCCGGATTTGAAAGTCACAAAAAGATTACTTCATCATAGTTTTTGATATCCAAGAGCTCTAAAAATATAAAAAAGTTTAAAGGCTACTTATAGGAAAAAAATTAACACTTTTAGGTTAGAGGAACAATCATTTTTTGAACCCAGAATCCTTAGGTATAATGGCGGCAAGGATCCAGGGCTCCAGGACTCCGGGCTTAAAAACAATAAGTTTCAAGTCATTAAATCTCATGAATTTCTTTCTTATAGCAGATCATAAGTCAACAAATATGTTTAGAGCTTCTGGATACTAGAGATTTGGAAAAAGTAGAGATATAAAGCTGGAGTCCTTTTGGGACTCCGCATCCCTGGAATTTAGACTTTAGAAGTTGCAGCGAAACTCCAAAAGGTAGATAATTAGTGTACTTCTATTAATTTTGTTATGAGGGACATTTACTGTTAATCAGGGTCTTAGTGAAAAAAAAAAAAAAAAACGCTTTCATGAGAAATGCACTTATTAATGCTCTTTAAGTTTCACCTCAAACAGGTTAGAGAGTTATTAAATTATTGCCTTAAAGAAAATGAATTTGCTGATGGAGCTGATAAAGTTGAATAACTAATATCCTCACATAACGTTATGGATTAAATGCATACTCTTTTTTGGATATATATGTTTATTTAATCTTTAAAATTTTATTATAAAAATTTTAATTTTCAACATGTAAATTTATATACATATATTAGTTTATATTAAAAATCTGGGTTGAAGAAGCATAAAAACAGGTTGCCTCTTTTTCACCATAACGTTGCTGTGAAATTAGGCATATCAGTAAAAACTTCAACAAAAAAATTGAGAAAAAAAGATGAAAAGATAAAAAATATTTGGCTTGACACCGGTCAAAAATGTTAAACAATTCAAAGATATCTAAGAGAAGCAGCTAGTGTCTGTGCTAGCAAAAATCAAAGCTACCAACTCTAATTAAATGGGTGATTAAAAATATAATAGATGCATTGTTGTATACTGGATTCTCAAAGTCTAGTTAAAATTTTAGCATCACAAATAGGAAAATGCATATTACACATGGTAAATGTTAAACAAATAAAAAGGTTACCACAATAAATGTATAATCTGTTTGTTTCTACATATGTATAGTAATGTTCGATTCCAATGCAGCTTATAAAATAGTTTTAAATCAAATCATAGATAAAGATTTCATAGCAGAATTCTGAATTGGGGCTTATCATTTAAGTAGCTTACATTGTCTTAATGTGCAAATTTCCAAAGTGTGATTGTTTGTTTTGTCATTGTTTTCAAATTTCCAAGGTGCATTAGATATGTGAAAATTTGCTCAATTCAGATAAATTTTTCTTTAGAGAAAAATCATTTATGTTTGTGGTTTTGGAAAGATACTTGTTCATCCCTTTTTGTCATTAATAGCAGATCTTCTGAAAAAATTTAATCTAAAAATAAATCTTTTTTTTGTAAAGTTAGCTGAAAATAAATCTCTACTCAAAATTGTCTGTATTCAACACAACCAGCTGTAGCAATTTCATAATCACTTTATTGTCAATCAGGCATTATTTTTGATGAATCCATCCAAAGGAAAGTGTTTATAGAAACAGCTAATGTGAAATTAGCTATATGAAATTGTGCAAGATGTTAATTTGTGGATCTTTCACTAATTTAATGGGAAGGTGTAAATCTTAAAGTTAAAAATAGTTGATAATGCCTTGCAATTTACATAACTACAGAATATGTGTTAAGTGCTATTTGATGATTGCCAGACATTTCACTCAAGACTTATAAATAAAATATTTGCCAAATGTAGAGAATCTTTTTTATTCTCTGGAATTTTAATATTTGAGCATTATCATCAGACAATTAGATGCAAAACTACCTGGAGTGGTATAGTTCCATCACAGATGGCATAATGGTATAATATAGCATCAAGAAACATTGGATTGGATTGGACGGTAATTAGAAGAGGTCAGAGCTATCAAGAGCTTTTAAAAATTGAATCTGCAGGTGCCATTTTCCAGCAGGCAAGAAAACAAGATTTAGTTAAGAATTTATTAAATAGTTTAAAGAATAATGAATCAAATTCTAGGAAATACTTTTGTGAAATTTTTCAATAGAAGCAAAAGTGAATGTGAACAATGAACCTGTTTCTTTTCGATGAAAGGAAGAGGGTGGTAATTAGATTCAAGAGATAAATTAGATCATGAATCAAACTATGAATTCAAGCCTGATTTTATAACAAATAGGTGAACTGATATGTAAGTATATGTTTAGACCAAGCACGTTACTATTTGACTTATTGCGAATCAAAAGATAATAGTCATTAACACTAAAATTCTAAATTGAAACTGTCGACATTAAAGTCTTACAAAGAGCAAGTAGATCTTGTGAATTTAGCAAAAGTAAGATTAAATTGATGAAAAGTTACTTCAAAGGCAGCACTTTTTTTTTCTGGAAAGATTGAAACATTTTAGTGGTAATAATGTTTTTTTTTGTTTAATAATTTTAGACATATTTTAATTTTTTGAGAACTTGACTCAATCATAAATAGTGTATGACACTCTAACCCATAAGCTATACAGTGTTATTATTTGTGATGAATTCAAAGTTGTAACAAAGGGTCTTTTTATATTGCTTGGATAATACAGACCAAAAGCACTAACAGGGGCACCTTTCATTATAACATAGCACTGTTAATACTCTGATACTTTATAATTGTTAATGAAATTAGTTTCTGAGAGCTGCCACAAAGCTTAAAAAAAGAATTTTGTAGCTGTAACCTCATTAGGGGATAACTGAATTGCAAAGCCACTACCAAGGAGTGTTATAGGAACTAAATCTATTCTTTTCATGTTGAATGTAAGCAACTGAACTATTGTTAGTTATTTTATACGCAAGTTTTAATTTTAAAACATGGACTATGCCATCAAACTTTTGTTCGCTACTTTATAGGAAAGTTTTAATTAAAAATGGGAAAAAAAACAACCAAAAAAGTTTTTAAAAGGTCTTATTTTAAGTGGGGCAAATGATTTTTATTTTTTCTGCTTTCAAATATACCTATTCAGGCTTGGTCGGGAAGCGGGTACGATAGCACTCGATAATTGACCGCAGAAATTATATTTAGTTGCAAAAAACCGGCCAGATTTTTTAGACATATTGAGAACATTAAAGTTTATGTATGTTTCTTTGTTTGTCCGCAAAATAATAATTAAGTTCATTATTTTATCATAAATTTTAAAATATTTTGTTTTACAGACGTACATGTAAACATACATAAATTTGAATGTTGTCAAACATCTTTGTGCGGAAAAATAAAGAATATTCGCTAATATAAAAAACCCGCAAAATCTACGTACAACTAATTCTATTGGTTGAAAAAATAACAACTGAAATTTCTAGAGAATTCAAAAATTATTAAGCGTATGTTCTAGAATATTCTGTTGAAATATTTTTAAAAATTGTATTATTTGAGTTTAATTAATATTAATCATCAAAGTTAATACAAATAATTATGAAATAAACATACAAGAAGTTTAAACAATATTGTTTAATGTTACTCGAGAGTAACATTGCACAATATTTTCCTCTAAGATTCTTCAGTAATGTTTTGATTTTATGGGACTAAATCTTAGCAATAAAAACTAGAAAACTGTTTTTTACTTAGCTTTAAACTGCTGTGCAGAAGCATAGTAAGCAAGCACTACGCTAACAGCAATGACGCATTCCATAAGGAGAGAGCTCAACAAAACTTCAAGTTAAGGAGCTATATCCAACATTAGACAATATTGTTTCACAACACAAATATAGTTACATACATTAAGTGACTTACGAGTGGATCAACACCGCGCCAGAATTTTTGAACTAAACTCATAATTAAACTAATTTAAAAAAATCAATTTATGGCACATTTTTTAGATCTCAGTAATTAAAATTTAAAATTAAAATCTAATGTCAAAAATGTTGTTAATTGTTACCAACATCTTAAACATATGAATTCAAATTGAATTTTGAATTGTTTTTACCCATATCAATCTTAAAAGAGTGACACAAAAGCGAGACTTTTTTGAACAAGTTTTCCGATATATAAAATAGAATGTCTCGGAAAAAGGCGTATAAATTGGTGAAATCTTAAAAATTATTTACTAAAAATTATTTTTTGCCTTATATTGGTATTTAATTACATTATAATTTCATTAACTATTTTCTAACAATAGTTTTTTACGGGGGGTTTTTTGCCGTTTTTTTATAGCTCACTGTGTGGTGCCCAAATACTAGTGATCGACCGGCACTGAAATTTTGCCGGAACCAGAACCGAACCGAAAATATATTTTATATATTCCTAACCGGAACCAAAAATAAATCCTAACCAGAGCCGAAAACCGGAACCGGAACCGAAAATAAATAAAAGATGAATGTTCATTTGGTCCTGTTTGAGACAATAATTTTTGACATTATGTGAGAGAAAGCCGTGTTTTTTTCATTGCTACCAGATGGAAATTTGAGTAACAGAAGCCAATTCATCTTCAAGAGGTTTCTCCATTTGGGACATGACAATGTGTTTGGCATTTTGCAAAGCAGTGTGAGATCGGAAAAAATACCATTTGTATTTTGGATTAAGTAAATTAGCAACTGAATAATATTCTGTTTTTTCAATTGCTGAAAAACGTCTTTCCATTGCATTTTTCATAGCTATTTTCCTCACCACTTTTTCATAGAGGCTCCAATCTTGGACGGAAAATTCAATTCCCACTGAAGGAAATTTGAGTAAGGTTACAGCAATGGCTGGCTTTAGGTGTAAAATTCGCTCAAGCATGTAATAGGTAGAGTTCCATCATGTGACAACATTGTTTTTTAAGCCAAGTCTGTCTTTTCTATCCATTTAGATTTCTTGCTGTCTGTAAAGTTCAGTGTAGAAATCAGTAGAATGGAATGCGTAAGAACAAAGTTTTTGACTCTTTTTAATCAGTTTGTTGATGGTAGGATCTAAAAATAGTTCTTTTTTTATCACAAGTTGAAGAGAGTGGTTAAGGCATCCAGCTGACTTATAATTACAGCTTGGCTCATTGAAGGCTGCTTTTACATTTGCTGCATTGTCTCTTAAGCAAACTCCAATTTTTAAAGAAATTTCCTACTCAGCTTCTGCTTTGATCTCTTTGAAAATGTTTTTGGCAGTATGACTTTCATCAAATGGAGAACAAGAGATGCAGAATTTGAAACAGTCTTTGGAAATAAAGTGAACAGTCATTCCCAGATAGCCATGATGAAATGATGACCATGCATCAAGGCAGACAGACACATTTTCAGCTTCTGATTGAACCAGCTTTTCCTTGAGAGCAACTTTAATTTTTTTATAAGTTGGATCCAGTAAACTTCTGTAGTATTTTTCGCTAGCAATTTTGTAATTTGGAGCAATAATTTTAAAGCAAGTTGTTTTAATAACATTAAAGCAACTTGCTTTAAAAAAATGAACCAAACCAATGAAAATTTTTAAATTTATTTCAATCAAATTCCATGTGAAAAAATCACCAAGTTCGTAAAGATTTTACCGTTACCAATTCCATGTGATAATTAAAATAAATAAATAATGAAGTCCATAACATATGACTGTACAATGTAGATAACATTGTAGCGTCATTAAATTTATAGATCATGATGTTTTAAACATTATAATTAAAAACCAGATAAAAGAAACAATGCGGTCAGGCGCAAAAAATAATATAAGAAGTTGAAATAACTAGCAAAAATATTAATTAAATTTTTTTAATCAAAATATATTTACGCTACAATGCTAAATAATTTATTTAAAATAAAGCTTTATAATATCTATTTACGGTAGCATTTTGAACTGAAATTCCGGCCGAAACTGAAATCTCAAATCTAGCCGGAACCGAAACAGGAATTTTGATTCCAGCCAAATTTATGACCAGAACCAGAACTACAGTCAGCATTATTGAAAACGGTCTAGAATAGCCCCTGCCACTATTAATAAATAGTTATGAGCACCAGTAACTTATGTTTTTTTATTTTACAGAATTTAACCTATCATTGATCATTTTTAACTAATCATTGATTGCAATCAATGGTCCTAAATATAATCTTGTTATAATAAGTTATATAGATGAATTTTTTTTAAAAAACAACCTTTTAAAGAAGCCTTAAATGTAATTTGTTCCTTGACTTTAGTTACTACTGCTGTAACTGTTATTGTTGAACCAAGAAATGTGTTGCAAGCTGCAAAGACAGAAGTTTTTGTGAACTGCACTACTAGCCCTGTTGAAGATGCACAAATAATTTGGAATAAAGGCGAAGAAAATATACCAAGTTATTCTGAAGGTACTAAAGATGAAGTGTATGTGTTGCCTAACAATACTTTGTACTTAAAGTCTCTCAAAAAAAAAGAGGCAGGTACATATACATGTAATGCATTTCTCACGCTAGAAAAATTGTTTCAAACAGTTGTCATTGAAGTTGCTTGTAAGTTTTTTGTTTTATTAAATAAAGTTTTCTTTTAGTTACTTGATTATTGATTTATATTGGATCATTAAGTTTGATTTTTCAATTCTTAGCTTTGTTTAAAAATTGTTTCTTCAATCTGGAGACAAAGTTCATATCTCAATCAAATAATTTTTATTATTATGAATTTTTTGATATAGTGTTTAGGGGTCATAAGTAAATATATTGAGTTACCTGATAATAACATTTGAAAAAAGCTTAATATAATTAATAATTAACGACTTAATAGTTAATATAGTTAATGACTTAATAGTTAATATATAGTTATAATAGTTGCTTGGAAAATATAGTTTTAAAAAAATACACAGTCCACACAGTCCAGGTATTTTTTTTTAAAATAGACTAAATAAAAAAACATTTTTTGATATTAAATAAATATAGTAGAGGAGACTCCCTAGCTATCGTAAGGCAAATTACCTAGTAGAAAAAAAACACTGGTGTAAAACCTCCAATTTAATTGTGGGTTAGAAGGAGCGCTTAAACTTTTGTGTTATCATATTAAAAAAAAAAACAATGGTGTTATGTGAACCCTTAAAACTACACAAGTGTGGAACCATGGGCATTGAACTTTAATAAAAGAAAGTCTTAAAGAAGATGTACTGGGTATTACAGATGTCGCTGCAATTTCTGTTCAATTAAATTATAATAATGTAAGCGAGCTTGAAAAATTCGCTAAATTCTTTTTAATTTTTCAAAATTTCAAATTTTCAAATTCAAGATCATTTGAATTAGAGAGTTTTAGAAGACTAAAGTTCTCTTATTCAAACAGGTTTCAAACTGGTTACCATCAACTATTTCATCAATCTTGCGTGTTTCATCATTCTAAGTTGCTTGCTAATGTTTAATGTTAAATTTAAACGGCTTAACAATTCCATTTTAGTTTGATTTGTAAGGTATTTTACTTGTTTTTTTAGGTGTTAGTATTTAAATAATTTATATGTATTATATTTACATGAATTTAATAGAACATTATTTCTCATCTTTAATAGTTTTGTTGGTAATGAAAAGTAAATGAATAAACTTGGCTATTTATTACTTAGTTTCTGATAAAATATTTGACTTCTAACTGATAAGTTAGTATAGGCTATTATAGTCTAAGTTGTAGTATAAGTTATAGTATAAGTTAGTATAAGTTATTATATTCTAAGTTGTATACATGCTATATACATGCTGTACTGTATACATGTATACAGCTCATGTATACTATATTATGGTATTTATTCACTTAAACTTTCTATTCTTTAGAGTATTGTCCAAACAGCACAGTGGTTAGACAAAGCACAATTTAGTTAATTATTTCCAGAATTTCTCATCGAAAAAAAAAAAAAAAATCTTTTTTGCAGTGTTGTTCTGCTTAAACAAACTTTTGTGCTGCAGTTCAAACTACATCGTTTACTACTGTTTCTGCTGCAAGAGTTCAATTGTTTAAGGTAAACTAGCCAAAAGTTGTGGCTATCCTGCTCATGCTCAAGATATATGAGCAGCCAAGACTTGTGGCTATCCTGCTCATGCTCAAGATGCATGTGCAGGAGAGCCACAATTTTTTTTATTTCTAAATATAAAGTTAAAAAAAATAAATTAATTTTTTTTTTTCCGAAGCAGTTTAGACAGATGATAGTTATTGGAAGAGCAATAACTATCATCTAGAGCAATAAGAGCAGCTGTTGTATAACATTGTATTTCTGATAAATATAAATATTTATATTTATCTATATTTCTTTGCGTTAGAGGCATGTGGTCGCACATCTTAAATGACCACGCATATAATACTTTGTTTTGACAACTTGGCCACAGCTATTTTCAAGTTTTTATAATTAGCGCTTTTGAAAAAAAAAAGCAAACTTAAATTGAAATGAATAATTTGTTATCTGAAATCTAAATTAACTGAAACTTAAAAATAAACAATCCATAAACTGAAAAGAGAATAAAATTAAAAAAAAGTAATAATAATTTAGAAATTAAACTGAAAAAATGAAAGTTTTAAAGAATAACAAAATAAATGGAAGAAGAACCAGAAAAAATTAAAACATTTAATGTAAACTTAATTGTAAGTGAAAGTTGAAAAAAAAAATTTTACACAGCTCTATCAATTTTTATCATTCCTCCTATGAATAAATAATCTAATACAAGGGCGGACCCATAGTGAGGGGGAGGGTCATGAGGGTGCCTGGTTCCCCCCCCCCCCCCCTCCTTTAGATTTTTGATTTATTTTTTCAGAAATTGGAATATTTAACACAGCAATATGTTTAAAAGTGTAAATAAATTAGGCAGTTTAAAAGTGCCATGGTATTTAATAAAATTTTGTGGTGCAAATTTTAAATTTAATAGGTTACAGGGTGCGACAAATAATCAAACTTGCACACAATTGATGATAAAAAAAGACAGAAAAACGAATGTCACATTTTTTTACTATTGCTTATGCAAACGTTGGCATTTGCTTAAAATATTCAAAACGAGTTCATTACTTCAGCAATTTTTTTCCAATTAATTTTGCAATTGATAGTTTTTAATTTCAAAAAGCACATATTTAAAATAAAAAAATAATTCATTTCAAAAGCTTTTAAAAAACCAACGCCAAAACATGGTTACTTTCTTCAATAGTGCTACTTCTAAGTAAAATAACTTAGTACATTTGAAGAAAGTAAAATTGTTTTAGTATGGTTTTTGCATGTGTTTACAAAAGCATGCAAAATTTTACTTAAATAAATGCATTTGTGATTGCTTTAAAACATTATTTTTTTTATTAAAGAAAGCAACTATAATGTTTAAGCATTGTTTCTTTTAAAGTAATAAGCAATTAAATTAAAAGTTAAAAGTGCATTCATTTTAAAATTGTGCTTTTTTTTTAAGTTTTCTTATTTTCCTTTAAGTGAAGTAATCTAAGTTTGTATATTTAAAACACTTTTAAAAGTTTTATAAAGAATTTTTAAGTTTTGTTGAAATATATTTATATAACCTAATAAAATATATAAAATTATTATGTTTATTATAGTTTTTATTTTTTATAGTTTTTATTTTTTATTGTGTGTTTAACAACACCAATAATATGATATTTTTATTAACTTATTAATAAATACTTAATATGGTATTATTATTTTTAAAGGCTTGAAAAAAAAAAAAGTCAAAACAACTTTTATTTTATTTGAAGTTTCATTTATTTTAGTTGTTAATTTTTTTTTATTAGTAAAAAAATTAAACATACTAAAATTAGAAAATTCACTATTTTGTATCTTTGATAACAGTTTTCAATCATTAGGTCATTGCATTTTATCACTAGTTTGCGCGCACTTTAAAAATGCGTAAAAAAAATAAAAATTGATTAAAGTGACCAAGCATCTTTGATATATTTAATAACTTATTAAATAGAATACAAATTATTTGAAAAACTTCCTTATTTGACATAAATCTCTTAAATTAGGCATTTATCAGTAAATAAAGATACATACATCAAAGTAGATATATGTATCTTTATTTATTGCAGACGCAATTATTTCAAGATTATTGTAATTATTTTATTTTCTTTTAAGTAGGGCTTCTTTTTTCAGCAAAGGAATTCGATGCAAGCCATGAAATGAAACTGATGTGTCTGAAATTTTTAAAAATCTATTTATGCATGAGTAATGTAAATATTTTTTTTTATTAGAAATTATATATCCATGATAAAACCAAATCAAAACCATTTTGATGGCTTCTGTGCTCATTTTGCCATAAATTCTAATCTGAATATTTTTTTAATGATAGTTTTTTATTACATTGTAATAAAGTACTTGACAAATATTGCAGCAGTTTAATTGTAATTATTGAATCAATTAAATTAAAAATTGCATTAACGTTTGCTTTGTATTTTTTAGTGCATTTTTTTAAAGCCCTAATTGTCAAAACTTGCAAAGAGCCATAGCCAAATTGTAGAAATAAAGTATTATATATATATATATATATATATATATATATATATATATATATATATATATATATATATATATATATATATATATATATATATATATATATATACACCTATGCTTTATGGCTAAGGAAACGTGTTTGTAGTAAAAAATGGCTCTTTGCTTGTTTGTGGTTTTAAAGCTGACAAAATTAAGGTTAGAATATGCCAAAATACATTTAATTGTAGGAAATAATTAAACTACAAAACCACAAATTAAAAGACTAGAATGTTTTTAAAAACATTCAAAATGTTTTAAAAACATTCAAAATATTTTTATGTGTTTTGACATTATCTAACCTTAATTTTATCAGCTTTAAAACCACAATTAAGCGAAGAGCCATTTTTTACTACAAACATGTTTGCTTAGCCAAAAAGCATAGGTATAAAGCATAGGTGTAAAGCATATATATATATATATATATATATATATATATATATATATATATATATATATATATATATATATATATATATATATATATATATATATATATATATATATATATATATATATATATATATATATAGACATATATATATATATATATATATATATATATATATATATATATATAGACATATATATATATATATATATATATATATATATATATATATATAGACATATATATATATATATATATATATATATATATATATATATATATATATATATATATATATATATATATAAATATATATATATATATATATATAAATATATATATATATATATATATATGTCTATATATATATATATATATATATATATATATATATATATATATATATATATATATATATATATATATATATATATATATATATATATATATATATATCTGGGACTATTCTAGATCGTTTTTGACAGCGTCACCCAATTTTTTTTTCATAGAATAGGCCCTGTATATATATATATATATATATATATATATATATATATATATATATATATATATATATATATATATATATATATATATATATATATATATATATATATATATATATTTAT